TACCAGAACCATAATAGTACTTATGTTTGTACAATGAAAAAACACCATTACCAATCTTGAAATTAAAACCAATATTGTCCAACCTACCATTACCAATCTTGAAATTAAAACCAATATTGTCCAACCTCTCTACAGAAACTAAATTTCTAGCACATTCAGGAACATAGAGACACTTTTCAAGATCCAAATAACAACCAAAGTCCAGGATCAATCTATAAGTCTCAACTCCTTTTATTTGTGCCTTCATTCTGTTTCCCATGTTTAAGAACTTTTCAGTTTCGTTTATGGGTTGGATCAAAAGGAATCCCTTTCTTTTCGGACAATCCTTCTTGAAGTGATCATTCTTCTTACAGAAGTAGCACTTCAACTCCTTACGGATTTGACCCTCATTCACCTTCATTGGGGCTTTGTCCCTTTTCTTACATTTCTTCCCTGATTTGTTGCTGCTGCTACTAGCTCCATTATGAAAAGTGAGATTGACAAAGTGTTCCTTCATTTTCTTTAGTCTCCCTTCCTCTGTATCAGCAGGGCCTTGATTTTTTGAATGTTCCATTTTTCCTAAAGGGTGTTGTAATTCACCTGGAACTGACCAAACTCAAGAGGGAGTGAGTTAAAAATGAATTGAACTAAAAAGGACTCACTCACATCCATACCCATCGATTTCAATTTGGCTGCCAAATTTTGCATCCTAGTCACATGATCATGAATGGATCGTGACCAATCAAACTTCTTGGTCGTTAGCTCACTCATTAAGGACCCTAGTATGGATTTGTCACCTGTATCCGATTGGGAGTATTCCTTAATCTTCAACATGTACTCTCTAGCATCGTCCGTTTTGGGCATTGATGGCTTAACATTTTCAGTCATTGTCATCCTCATTAAGTTCAATTAAAGTTTCAAGCTCAAGCCTATTAGAACCGCTCCCAGCCTCATCAATGAGCACTTGTTCATCGTTCTGTACTGGTCCCTCTTAATGATGGTTGGCTTTTCAGAGACTAATGTCAGATCTAAGTCCAGAACTCCTAACTGATAATGGATTTGTTCAGACCAATCAGCATAGTTCAATCCATTGAACTTAAACAACCTAGTGCCCATAGCGAACATGTTAGAAGAAACTGCAGCATAATACATATACTCGTACGTTAACACTTTAAGAAAAAAACTTAAATGGCTTCAAACAAATAACAAACTTAATTATGCATTTAAATTCACCTTTGGGTAATACTTAAATACATAGCTTTAATCAATAATGATGCCAAAAATAAAATACTCTAATAGACCTTAATTAATGCACAGGAACTCGCAAATTGATATGCCATTTAAAGAGCAGAGGCACGCCCGTGCTTCTCTCTAGAACTCAGGGCACGCTCGTGCTACATTACAGCACAGCCCGTGCTACTCTTTGGAGTTTAGGACACGCCCATGCTAATTACAACACAAACGGTGCTGTTCTCTGAGGTCTGTAGCACGCCCGTGCTCATTACAGCACGCCCCGTGCTACTCTCTTGAGTCCATAGCAAGCCCATGCTCATTACAGCATGCCCGTGCTCCTTTCTAGAGTCCAGTTGTAGCAATAATATAGCAAGAAAATATATATGTTACCTTTGGGTATACATACATAGTTATCAAATACATGATAGGTCTCTTTGACGCCATTGATTATGAGTAATGGTTTACCTTTGGGTAACCTCATAACATTATAATCAATGATCTCAATTGTTCGATTTTATCTTTTATGTCATTTAACGGCATCACATGATATGAACAATTGAAAAGATAGAAAATTGAAAACTGCATAATCAAATATCTAAATGAATCCAATAAGGTCACTTGGTGACTAAATCAAGTTTTCTTCCATTGGATTATCTGAGTAATGGTCCTAGCCTTTGGTAACTCATAAACATTATAATCAATGAATCTATTATAATCAATGATCTCAATTGTTCGATTTTATCTTTTATGTCATTTAACGACATCACATGATATGAACAATTGAAAAAACTGCATAATCAAATATCTAAATAAATCCAAATAAGGTCACTTTGGTGACTAACAAGTTTTCCATTCACTAAACTTTGAATTATGCAAAACCTTATAATATTGAATTAAGATCTCAAAACTTTAATGAAATTATACAATAAGATGTCTTGATCTTTCTTTTATAAATTACAGCAGAATAATTTAGAAAGCACAAAGAAAACAAACAGTTTTCCAAATTCTATAACTTTGGCTTCGTTTATACCATATTAAAACAATTTCATAATACGAAATTAATTTCCATTAATCAAGTCAAATACAAAATCTATCAAATAAATCTAGAACAAACTAGGCTCTCATACCATATGTAAAAAACTTTAATGCTACCTAGATCGTTTTGTCCAGAAATTATTTAATAGAAAAACTGTTAACGGAAGCGTACCTTGATCCATAGCTATTGATTACCTTGTTGATTACCTTGTTGCGGCAATTCGATTCTCACAGTAACAGTAGATCTATGTTTTTTCACTCTGGCCTTTTGTCTGTAAGTTCTCTCTTAATGGTTAGAGAATTATCGACAGCAACGGGAATTTTCTTTTCACGTTCTCTCAAACAACCTATCACCACTATGTGTTTGAGGTAGCCGTCACACTCTCTTAATCTACGCTGTTGATTTCCTTGATCTTTTATAAGGCAGATGAAGGGTATTAAAACTCTAACTAGTTCTCATCCCATTAAGCCCAATAACCATCATCTTGGGCCACCTTAATTAGAACTAGATCTTTAATTACATGGGCCACATAGATTATTTCTTGGGCCACCTTAATTAGAACTAGATCTTTAATTACATGGGCCACATAGATTATTAAAATAATCTAACAGAAAGAGCTATATCTATGGTATTAGGTTCAGCCATGGATTCGTTAAGTTCCTATTTCTAAGCATTTATAACTTTATTGTTGAATTTTATGTTTAATTAGATCCCTGAAAATAGCTTGGTTGGCCTAGATTATGGATAGAGTCTAAGCGTTGCATGGATACTAATGGCTAGTGCAGTAATGAGACAATATTCATGACCAATATACCCTAAACATAAATTGATGATACCCAATCCATACACATGCAAACCCTAATTTGTACGCATGTTAAAAATTCTATAGCAAGCACCTTAAATTTAGTTTTTTGTAATTAAACCTAATACTTTTTAAGATTAATAATACAAAATAAAAAAGATAACAATATATACTTATTTGTTTCATCTAATAATAATAATAATAATAATAATAATAATAATAATTTATCTTTCGACTTATGAATAGATTCATTTCCAATGCTGAAAAACGAAATAATGATTTAATTCTAACAAAGAACAATAAATAGAATTAGTTAAGCAACTTGCTGGGATACCATTTTAGAGAAAGTTTTCAAGCAAATTGATATAGGGTCCAACAATCTAATAGCTCTTGCAAGTGAATGCCCGAATGGTGGAACCCAAATGTGGGTACACATGCAATAATTGCGTGGTTGAAATTTATGGAAAAGGGACAAGTTTGTGCAGGAGAGTTCTACATATATCTTCACTATTTTCCTCTCTCAAAAATTATCACATTCATTTATACAATCAGCCCGAAAGTAGAAAATGCAAATATATATTGACAAAAAGAGCACAGATCTTGATATATACTCTTCAAACTCTAATTACCTTTTAGAAAAATAATCCATTTCCTACTCCCCATTAAAAAATGTTATAATAATAATTTATTTTATATTTCCAAATCAAAAATCTAATTCTTACGAAATAAATTTCAATTTTCTATAATAAAATCAAAATAAAACCAATTACATAAAATATCAAATCGAATAGAACAGCTCAATTTGATTTGGTATTCTTTGACACAAGAAAATGTGCATTAGCTAATTGATATGGAAACTAGAGTAACTTAAGTACAGTGTAAGTATTATATTCAATTAGACACTTCATTTGCATGTTATATTATTTTATTGCAAAGGAGTAGTCGACCTATCATGATTGGATAATTGAATTATGGGTGAGGATAACGTTAGTGATGCGAGTGACAAAAGATGGAGATAATGTGACGAGATTAAGAGAGAGAGAGAGAGAGAGAGAGGGAGGGAGAAATTATAACTTCTAGAAAGGCAATTCTCTATTGAGATAGGATTTGTAAAAGGAAAATAATGGAAGTAGCCAGCAACACATCATACATATGAGAGAGAAGATGATGGGAAAGTAGAGAAAGCCTTTTATTTCCCTATTAAGATAAAACCCATTAAAAGAAGAAAGTAAAATAAGTAATTATATGTATATAGGAACTTTTGATTCCAACATGTCACCCACATAATTAAACACTATCTTAAACCCTCCAAATTTCTTATTAAATAGAAATCCAACTAGAGAAAGCAAGCAAATGATAAGCTAAAGCAAAGAAACATGGTGAAAAAGCATCAATCCACAAATTCCATGAGTTAAAATAAAAATATAACCTATAATTAATAGTCCATAAATAAATGTTTTCTAAATTAAAAATAGAGAAATAATTGTGCAAGAACAAAAAGAGAACAACACAAAGGCTTGCCTTACCAAATCCTCCTACACACACACCCCAATAAATATAAGATAGGTGGGAATTGAATTATTTGAGTGAAGAATGTGTTACTTTTAGGGAGCAAATATGGATGGGACCCTAATTTCTTCCACCAAACTTAAATATATGTAAGAAATAAAAATAAAGTATCCAAAGAAAAATTTTTCTTCTCCATTATACCTCCTCCTCATGCTTGCACTTCTTTGTTTCCACTTAAAATTAGTCCATTTTTGATAGTAAAGAAAAAAGAAAAAAGAAAAACAAAAGAAAGAAAAAGAAACCAAAGGATAGAGACATCAGAAAAGGTTAAAAAATAAAAAATAAAAAATAAAAAGTGCCTAAAGAAAGAAAATAAAGAAAAAAACTTTTATAATTAAAAAATTGAAATGCTCGCAATTAAGAACATTAGAAAAGGGGCGCAGAGTAGATACTATTGATATTTCTGATCTTCTCTTTCTTCAAATATTATAATTATAATCATAATTGAATTTTTTTCTCTCTTCCTATAGAAATATCAGTCTCCCTCTCTCTCTCTCTCTCTTCAAGTATGATTTACTTCTTCTATGTCTTCAAGTATATACATATACTGATTTCTAGCATTTAGTGTCACCGACGAGCAGGTTGTTTATTAGGGCATGAACATCTTCAAGGGGCTGTATTTGGAATTCCCCATCAGAGCTCCATCATTTCTGATCGGTGAGTTTTACCTTTAAAGATTTCCAGCTAACTCTCAAGTATATATTTCATCTCGGCTTGGCTTTGAATGTGTTCTATTATTGTTTTCTATATGGGTTTTCTTTATTTTGTTAATTACTTGCTTTCTGCTTTTTTTGTGATCAATTTATCTCATTATGGTACTGTTTGGTCATTTTTTTTTATTTTCCAAAATACCCATTTCACAAACATTTGCTTCTATTCCATTTCTGTAGCAAGTTTTTGCCTTCTCCATGTAGTGGATATGGGGGGTTTAATTTCTTTATCGTAGCTTCTTCCTTTTTATTTTGGGTTGAACATTGAGTTTTTTGTGCTGCTAATAATTAACTGTCTCAATCTCTTTCTCTTTTTAGCTATCAAGCTACACTATTCTTCCTTGTTTTCTTCTGTTCTATATGTTTATTATTTTGGCACAGTAAAGGATGGCGTATATCATATGTCTCTGCTTGCATTTGGTTATCTTGAGTTTCCGTTTTGGCTTCTTGGTTGCACTCTTCAGATACCCTTAAAGATTATTGTTTTCCTTTTAAATTTGAAAGGGATGGAGGTTATGGTATTGTCCAAATACTACGTTTTGATTGCCTGTTGTCTTTTGTAGAGTAAACTAAATTTTTTTTTTTTTTTACTTATAGAAACACGTAAAAATTTCTTTCCTTGGTTTCTGCAACTTAAATTCCAATTTTGATACAACTTCAATACTATTAAATATGTTTAATGGTACTAAATGTGTGCATTGGTTTTTCTTTCTATTTGAGCTATTGCTTATCATCAAGTGTTTGATACTGTCATTGATCAGCTAAATGGCGTGCTTATTTAATTTCTTTTATCTGTTCTTATAGTAGATAATCCTAGTTGCTTCTTCAATTATCATCGTCTTATCTCCAATGCCATTGGCGATGAAACATAAAAGCATAATACTTTTTTTTTCGTTACTTTTTTTAGAGTAAAAGTTTTTTAATTTTATTTTTTAATTAGTTTTTCAGAAATTGTGACTTAACTGTGTGCAGGAGAGCAGAAAGATGGACAGGAGCAGACTGGATTTAAGATTGCATCACTCGGGATCAATGCAATCTGATGAATCAGCTTTAGATTTGGAAAGAAACTGTTGCAATCATCCTCATCTGCCCTGGTCAAGTCCATCTTCACTTCAGCCCTTTGCATCAGCTGGACAGCACTCTGAAAATAATGCTGCCTACTTCTCTTGGCCTACTTTGAGTCGATTAAATGATACCGCTGAAGATAGAGCAAACTATTTTGGTAACCTTCAAAAGGGGGTGCTTCCAGAAACCCTTGGACGGTTGCCATCAGGGCAGCAAGCAGCCACCTTGCTTGAGTTGATGACTATTAGGGCATTTCATAGTAAAATCTTGCGTCGGTTTAGTCTTGGCACAGCTATTGGGTTTAGGATTCGGCGGGGTGTCTTGACCGATATTCCAGCCATTCTTGTTTTTGTTGCCCGGAAGGTTCATAGGCAGTGGCTCAACCCTGTTCACCGCCTACCTGCTGCACTTGAGGTCAGAAAATTGGTCCTTCCAGTTGTCCATTGGGTTCTGTTTTTCTTCTTTTAACTTGAGAAAGAGACTTGTGAGTTGGAATACTGCCATTTTGTATGTTGTGAATCCAATTATGTTCATATTGCTTTATTTTTGGATCCCTATAAACTTCCTCTGGTATCACTGAAAAACTTATTGTGTGGGAAAAGAACCTATAGCATATTCAAATACTGACAATTGTTTCTTTAGATGTTTAAATCGCCTTTTCACTGTATGAGGCAGGGTCCAGGAGGTGTATGGTGCGATGTGGATGTTGTTGAATTTTCATATGATGGAGCACCTGCACCAACTCCGAAGGAACAACTATACACAGAGCTTGTAGATGGGTTAAGGGGAAGCGATCCATGCATTGGTTCTGGTTCCCAGGTATTTTACTCTATAATATTACTGTTGTATGGTGGTTATGCACAAAAGAAGGTTGTTTATTATGAATGTATGTGAATGGAGATTGAACTATGGATCATATTGACTCATGAAATAAAATATGAAATGCATAGACTTCAGGTGATTGATAATTTGGTAACTTTCTCTTATGAAAGTTTTTGCCTTTTTGGAGTTGCCATTTGTTGGGTATCTATGATCTTTCTTGCTATTATACAGGTGGTTTCCACATTTGGCTGATAGAAGGTTGTTATGGATGAGTAAAGTAACAATCAATATAATAGATCTTGCGATTTTTGGCACTGCTAGTGTGCCTTATGGCCCTTCATTGGCAAATAACTTTGTAACTTTATGAATTTGCATAAGCTTATTATTATGTTATAAATTTATGCATTAGGTTCATTGGATTTTGTTTTTCTTTTTGTTGACAAAGTATGTGCGCAATTTTTAATATTAGCTTATCTGAGAATGATCCACTTGTATACCATGTGTCAGCTTGAAGCCAAGTTTTATTAATTGTTTTGGTCAGCTGAAGCTTCAAAGGCATGGAAAGTAAAAAGGAGGAAAGAGAGAGGGGGGGTTCGTATCCATGTGTCAAGTTGAAGGCGAAGTTTTATTATTGTTTTGGTCAGCTGGCAGCTTCAAAGGCATGGAAAGTAAAACAGGTAGGAAAGCAGAGAGGGGGGGGGGGGGGGGGGGGGGGGGGGGGGGACTGGGACTGAAGCATTCTTCATAAAACGTGTGATGCGTTGGCAGTGCAGATATGTTTGAAAGTTCCCTTTTTTTATTTATTTGGTTCTTGTAACTTTATGACTGAAGGACGTGGATCATCGGACTCTACTTAAAAAAGCTTTAGTCTTCTGATAATCTCCAAGATAGCAAAGGCTATTTGAGAGTAAAAGAATGTGTTTTAGGGTTAGACGATCAGTAAAACCCATGTAGAAATTTGCAAGACATAGACGAAGACGGGAGAGCAAATAGGGGCCCTTTAGGTTGCAACCACTTCAATGCTTAAGTCGATAAAAGAGTAATAAATGATTATAATTCAATGAGATAGATTGACATTGTGTACCTGAGTAGGAGCTTGATATTGAAACTCCCTTAAAGTGATCTAAAAGACCATATGAATAGGAGTCTTAGCCTGTCCAGCAAATCAGCTGAGGATTAGGAAAATTTCTAACCCTAAATAGGAATCAGTATCAAATAGTCATTGGTCCTTAAAGATATTTAGGTCATATAATACAAATCGTAGTTAAGTCCCTGATAAATACTTATATTATATCACCTGCTAATCTCTATAAGTGAAATGGTTTAATATCAAACCTTTACCTGAAATATGCTGTAGACAACATAATATGATGTATATGGACAGCAAATTAGGAAGCTCGAGCAGATGAGCAGCACAAATCATTAACGTTCACAATAAGTGCTTTGCTCTGTGGCCTGTATCTTTTTAAAGTGTTTGAACAAATTTCACACTTTAATATTGAATTATTACTATATTTACAAATAACTATTTCATCAGGTTGTTTGCCAATTTTGGGGTTGATTGAACTGAATACGTACTTCCTTTTTATATTGTTCCATGTACTGGTTTGATCTAATGCTGACATTCCTTTCTGAATTCCGAGTGATGGAAGTTTTGCCAATATGATACCTAAAGATCGATTCGTGTTGTATGAGCAAAATGTTAGAGAAAAGGACGTTGTTGCTGCTTAGTTGCTGTTTCCAAGTGTTAATTACTAAAGTCTCATTGGTCAATGTGTACCTTATTTGTTTTTGGCCTTCCTTCCCATTGATAAAGGGAATTGTTAACTGCATATCAGTATATCCAAGTAATTATGATTTCTATTTGAAAAACATTAGTCTCACCGTGTACTATGATTGGCAAAAGCAAGTAAACTGATGAAAGATCGTTGATATCTGACCTTTAATGATTTCTTCATTCTTTTTCTATTTAATCCTTAAATGAGTTTTATATAGAGTAGTCAAGATGTAGCTGAGGTTATTTGCCAATTGTTCTAGTGACATAGTCATACTAGCTACTGCAGTTGGTAGAAATCTTTCAGGGAATGTAACTCAGCTGCTATAACTGGTTCCATGACAATATCCAATTGTATAAGCCAACTGGAATAATTTTAGTTTTCTGTTGATGACGGACTTCCATATATTGCCATTGGTAAGTTCAGTTATGTTGATATTTGTTTAAACCTCCAGAAGTAGTAGTATTGTACTATTAACATTCCAAAAATTGAGCCATCAAAGTGTATAATAATCAATAGAGTCTATCTAAAGCTCAAGGTTCTAAAAGATTCTAAGTAGCCATTTTATTGGTCAATATGGATAATTTTTCGTCATCCAATATTTTGGTTTTTTAATGAACATTTGAGAAATCAAAGAAAGGTCCATAGTTTATTCTGCCAGCATTGTACAAATACCATGTACTCATTAGAAAAACATGTGAAAGAAGTTTAGAAATTGCCATAAGCTGTTACCTGGATTTGGTTAGCAAACTTTTACTGCATGAGATTCGGGTAATTGTTGATGCTTTCCAAACATTAACAGAAGATATACTAACTGTTAGAACAGTTTTGCTTTATATAGGGGCAACCCAGATATTTTTATACAAATTATCTTCCTAAGACAATAACCAGTTCTTTATTTACTTCTGAAAGTAATCATGAGAGTTATTTTTATAAATATTTTCCTTTATTATCTATACATGTCAATGGTTTCCTTTTTCATCAATATCTGATTTTTATTTTTCCAGGGAACAAACGGAAGCTTTTACATGTTTGTTGCTATATAGTAATCTTGGGGGACCTTATCTTGTAAACTGTTAATTAATGTGTATGTTGTGAATAAAATGAGAAGTTCATTGGTTATAACAAAAAAATACCATAGTTTTTGAAAGGAAATAGGGTTGTTATGATACATTAAATGAGTTGACCAATGGAAAATTTTTGTATGCAATGTTGGTTATGGTCCCTCTTGTTTTTTGCTCAAAGAATATGCATAGATTAGGAGAGAATTCAAAGAATTCAGGAATAGGTTGCATTTTTTATGCATAGGATTAAAAGCTTCACGTCTACATAATTTTGATTTTGATTCAAGGTTAAGTTTATATGTATTATACCGACCGAGTATCTCACGGTTCAAGCTTGGTTTAGCATATCAAACCCATGCTTGAATTTAACCTGGCAACTGAAAACCATGCTCAATCACTCACCTGTAATTCAAGCCTAACTGATCTATTACAAACTTTGCACTATATTTTTATTATTTTCTAACATTATAATGCTTAAAGCAAACCCGTAGAAGGGCCTGCAGTTCAGTGGTTCAAAGGCCTAAAACATTCATGCTTCTAGAAGAAAGGACTATTCGCCTTTTATGTGGAAGGTAGCACCCTCCTCCATTGATGATTGTCTGATGTGGGACTTTCAATTAGGATAGCGCCCTTTTAGAGGCATACAAGGCTGCTATTCAACTTGATGACATCATGTACTGATCGTTCTGAGCTAATATCTGTTGATCTCACTATTCATTTTGTACATTTCAAACTTAGTACAATGTAGTATTTATTGCAAATGAAAATCTGGTTATATGCTTCCTTTTATGGGAATTGTAACGGGAAAATTTTGATAACTGAAAGCAACTTATTGTGAACTTGAACAAGAAACAATATGAATGTAAACAAACTATTATTGAGCTTCTTCATGAGCATAATCACATTGAGCTTACTTATATTCTTGTTTGGTTTGTTTATTAAATGTGCCTGACATTTATGTCCAAAATTGTAAATGAACCACATAAAGGAATTCAAAAAGGATTTTTATTGTGGTCATAACAAGTATTTTGGCAAGTGTATTAATTATTCTCAGCTCTAGAAATTGGCTTCATGTTGTTAGAACTACAAATATTGCAAGTTACGTGCATATGTAAATTTTTGCTTGGCGCTCTACAAGCTATAGGATAATTTATGTTCAATAAGATAATTGTCCATTACTTCTTTTACCTCCTAATAGTTAGTAATTGGACTTTGCACTCACACACATTCATGCACATGCTTGTGGCATGAGTGCTGCTTTCGTGCTGACCATTGTATCCATTTTTGGTTTGTGCACATGTTTTCTACAAGAGCTTGAGCATGTATAGATGGTTAAGAAGTAGACCTGTGACATCATGTTATGGTCCCGGCTAACGGATCTAGTTATGGGTCGATGGGTAGTAGGAGGGGTTGGTGTTTGGGTGTTTGGGTTAGGGTGTTTCCTTGAGCGACCTATGGTGGAAGACAAGAAAAGTCAGATTCGTTAAAGGGAGCCTGAAACCTCAGTCAAGAAGACTTAAATTGGGTTTTAACAGTCCTTTATTCCATCAGATTTGCTGAATATATACAAGTGCAGAAATAACTACTCCCTACATTCAAGGAGCACTACTTCTATATGGAGGAATAACCTCCCAGTAACAACAAGAAAATAGGGAAATGGAGGAATACCCTCCTACAATGCAGGAATGTTGAAACAGAATCAAAACAGAAAGAGAACAACTACTGCTGACTAATTCAGCAACTCAATTACTGGTGCAACAGAAAATTTAGGGAACTGGAGGAATACCTCCAATAGGGAAATGGAGGAATACCCTCCTACAATGCAGGAATGTTGAAACAGAATCAAAACAGAAAGAGAACAACTACTGCTGACTAATTCAGCAACTCAATTACTGGTGACTAATTCAGCAACTCAATTACTGGTGACTTGGACTTAGGACCATGGTATAACGGGAATATACTTGAAGGGGTTTGGTAACACATCAATTTCTGTTTTTTGGTTAAGGCAAAGTTGTGCAAGTGTGTTCTGTGCTGGTAAAAAAAATGGTTGCTTAGTAACATATCTAGGGTACCATAACAACTGGATTGATACTCTAGCATTGAATTGAATATGATAAGCTTTCAGCATGGTCAAGCTTTGATTTATTTCCTCTCTAAAACTGTTGTTGTATTTCAACCAGTGGAAAGGTCATTTCTAAATTTGGAAAATAAATTATCACTTGGTAGAAATAAAGTTGTAAATAGCACCTTGGGGGAAAATGTAATTGCCACTTTTTTGTATATTTTTTATATTTAAGTACTGTTATACTTTCTTTTACAAGGAAATGTTTTCAGTTTTAATTATATTCAAATTTTTAAGGAAATAAAGATGTAAATTGCTAGTGCATGTGAGTGTTATCTTTTACTGATTAGTTTTTCAGAAAGATATGTGCTTACATGGCTACTTGTGCCTCTGTTCATGAAGTTTAATACTTATCAATTTGCTACATGTTTGTAGGTAGCAAACCAAGAGACATATGGAACCCTTGGTGCCATTGTGAAAAGCCGAACAGGAAACCGACAGGTTGGTTTCCTTACAAATCGGCATGTTGCAGTGGATTTGGATTACCCAAACCAGAAAATGTTTCATCCCTTGCCACCCAGCCTTGGACCTGGAGTGTATTTGGGTGCTGTGGAGAGAGCAACCTCATTTATTACAGATGAGCTTTGGTATGGCATCTTTGCTGGAACAAATCCAGGTATTATAGTTCCAGTCTGTAGAATTCATTAATGTATTACCTGCATCTATTTTGGCATATTTAGTTGTCCCCCAAATAAATTATATTCAAGATCCTTTACATCAAGTGAGAGGAGCTGCAGTCTTCATGATTTTTTGTGACGGCTAAAAAGGGAATTATGAGATATGATTGAAAATTTTGAAGGAAAGGATTTGAAGGAGGGGGGAGGGGCAGGTGTTCAGAAGGATTCAGTTTAGGAGCTAAGAGTCTTCACTTCTGATGGACAATAATTTTTATCTACCTTGGAGATAGGGACTTTCAATATTTGGAACTTTGTACCTCAACCTGATCGTTTCATAATGTGTTAGACAGTGATAGTTGGGCACAAGTAACTATGATGTTACTGGCTCATCTAGAAGTTAAACACTCTGTATATTTACCTACTTAACTCATAAATTTGGTTGGCAGCTCTGCTTAAGATACAAGGAGGGCAATGCTGATATTTCTTTTTCATCTACAAACAGTAAATCTCCTCCTGCTTCAATATACTTGGTTTTGATACTGTCTACTAGTTGGATACAATTCTTTTCTGTATGGATGGCATGCTAAGCACAATTATCTACTAATCATGCTTCTGTTAATTGACATTTTTTCCTGATATCCTCTCATGCTCATTGCAATTTTATGCTCCTTCAGAAACATTTGTGCGAGCAGATGGTGCTTTCATTCCTTTTGCAGAAGACTTTAACATGAACAATGTGACCACAACTGTGAAAGGCGTAGGTGAGATTGGTGATGTCCATAATATTGACTTGCAATCTCCAATTAACAGTCTCATTGGAAGGCAGGTAGTCAAAGTTGGAAGAAGCTCTGGCTTGACTACTGGAACGATAATGGCCTATGCTCTAGAATATAATGATGAGAAAGGAATTTGTTTCTTTACTGATTTTCTTGTTGTTGGAGAAAACCAGCAGCCATTTGATCTTGAGGGTGATAGTGGAAGCCTCATTATGTTGACGGGTCAGAATGGTGATAAGCCGCAGCCAGTTGGGATCATTTGGGGTGGGACAGCTAATCGAGGTAGGTTGAAGCTAAAAATTGGACAACCCCCGGAAAACTGGACTAGTGGAGTCGACCTTGGGCGCCTACTTGACCTCCTTGAACTTGATCTCATCACAACCAACGAAGGGCTTCAAGGTTTGTATGTCAGTTTTCTACTTTTCTTGTTCTACAGCACTTTCGTATTTGGTAGTCTTGAAAAGTTCACCGTGTTTGCTTTGTCCTGAAGATTATGTGATATTATGGTGGCACATTATGAATATTCTCGGAAATGATGTGCAAATTTTTGATAATGCTTGCCCGACCAAATGACATACCATTGTAGGGACTACTGAACATTTCCACTGTGTCCCGTTTGAACATAAATTATAATATTATGAATTTGATTATACGCCTCCTTTTCAAATGATGGTTGGCTGGCTGTCCATTTTGGCACTTGTCAGTTAATATCAGTATCAGGGAAGTAGACAGTGCTGCTGGAAAGTAAAAAAGACAAGGTAGCAGTGGAAGAAAGTACAACAACAACAACAGCAATTAAGCCTTATTCCTAAACTAGTTGGGTTCGACTATATGAATACGTTGTTTCCAGTATCCGATCTGATCAAATTAATAGCAATGCAAGCAAAGTAGCGGAAAAGAAAGCAATGAAAGACAATTGTTTGTTACATGCTGCAAAAATAACCTTAGAAACTGAAAAGGAAAAAAGACAAGCAACATTTTAATTCCTTGAAAACTGTAAATTTACGTTCTTTTTGAGACCCCAACTTTACATTCTTAAATTAGGTTGTTGTAGTCCAATTTTTTTTAATGATGCATGATGATCCTGAGAGTTTTGTTTCACAGAATACAACTGAAAAAGCAGAAACACAATTGCAACCAAAGATGTCTGTCTTTTTAGCAGAACACTGAACTTGTTTAACTTGTTCGTTTGTTTGATTAATGTTGGTCAATGCTGTATCTGTCAAAATGTCATTTTGATGTAGGACTGGCCTGCTGTGAAATGTAGAAAATTGAAGCAAAAAAAAAAAAAAGAAAAGAAAAAGAAAAAGAGCTATCCATCTTTTTTCATTAATAATTGCTTTTTTTTTTATCCTTTTAACCCTAATGTTCTGAAGATTTGTTTCCTTGTTAATTTGTAGCTGCAGTGCAAGATCAAAGAAATGCCTCTGCAGCAGGATTAGATTCGACAGTTGGGGAGTCATCTCCTCCTGACCGCATTCTATCAAAAGATCGAGTTGAAGAAAATTTTGTGCCTATAAATTTGAATATTTGTCAAGATTTAGTTGAAGGAGAGGCTCAGCAAGGACTGACTAGACCTTTCATTGACAGTGAGTTTCATATAGAAGATGGGTTGGAGGCAGTTCCCAACATGGAGCACCAGTTCATTCCAAGTTTCATTGGGATGTCTCCTGTCAGTGACAGAAACCAACAGGAACATGTCGAATTGAAAAATCTATCAGCATTAAAGAATGGTTCTGATGAGGAGATATATGTATCGTTACGTTTGGGTGAGCCTGAACCTAAAAGAAGACGAAAGTCAGATTAGTCTTTTAGCATTGAAGAATCCAAGTTAAAGAACAAGGGATTTCCAATGTGGCTCGGAGAAATTCTTTTCAAAGATGAGCATGCAAGGTTGTCTCCTTCTTCTGGCATGGACTTCAAATTCTAAGTTGTAAGTATAGTATTAAATTGCAAACAAGAAATTTAAGGTTCACACCTTAAAGGCTTAAACTAGGTCAAGTATCATTCTTTTTTCATGTTTTTTTTTCTTTTTTTTTGGGTCAAGGTTACAACTTTAGGTTACATATGGGGGTCATACAACAATCTAGTATAAAAAATGAACATGTTTAGAGGAGTACCTTAATTTAAATGTTTTCCATTTACATTGTTGTACCATAACGCACTCCTAAAGTGGGAGTATAAACAGCTAGTGGTTATAAATGTTATTTATGAAAGGAGCCTTTGGTTTATTTAGAGCCCCAGAAGAATAATTGTTTTTTTTTTTTAGGAGGTGCTCTTTTCGTACCAGGTGGCATTAAATAATTGGGAAAAAGAAAATTTAAATCCTTATATTATAGCAAATCTAATATTCTATTTTAAGAAATGAATGCGAGGCCGCGAAACTAATACGTAGGTCTCTCTGTCCAAAACCTAGCTGGAAACAATAAGTGTAATTTTAGACCAAACAATGCAATCGATTAAATTGTTTGGTTAGGCTTTTTTTTTTTTTTTAATAATGTAATAATGTAATGTAATTGAGATTATATATGTAATCTTTATTATTTAAATTGATGCAATATTTATTACATAAAAAAACACATGTATTGTTCATTACATTAATCACATATAATACTAATTATATTAAGCCACCTTGATTAAAACTTTAGTATTACCATAACTGCTCGACCACCGCTACCACCATCATTCGACCACTATTCCACTACCCTTAATATCACCACAACCACTTCACCATCGCCACCGTTCCTCTACAACCACCTCCACCACCATTCCTCCACAACCACCACCACCATCACTCCACTACTCTACCACTATCACCTCAACCACTACCATCCCTACCACTACACTGCTCTATCATTACCACCTCAATCACTACCACCACCATTGATCCACCACTCTATCGCTGTCGATGCTCCACCACCTACTGTATCACCACCACCACCACTCCACCACTCTACCACCACCATCACTGCACCACCACTGCTCCACCACCATTATCACCACCACCTTTGCTCTATCACCGCCACCTCAATTATCATGACTACTACTGCTCTATCACTACCATCTCAACCAGCACCACCCTCCACTACTCCACCACCGCTTTACCACCATCACCATTGCTCCACCACCACCACCACCATTGCTTTATCACCACCATCACAACTACTATCACATAACAAAAATTATATTTTATTGTTTAATATGCAACACTCAATAAAACTTATATTTTATTCTTTTATGAGAAGAATAGAATGAAAAACACTAAAAATATCAAAATGCCCATAATTTTAAATTTTAATTTTATTTATTCAATGAAAATATATGAAAAAAATTCATTTTTAATGATTTTTAACTTTTATTTTGTTATATTATATTTTTTTCAAGTTACCTTCTTTAATTTTTTAGTGCAAATAAATTTATAAATCTGAACGGTCTTTAATAGCTTAATATAGCGAATAGCTTTTGGCTGAAATATTTCTTTTATATTAATAATGATGTTGTGGTGGTGGTGGTGGAGTCATGTTTGAGGTAGTGGTGGTGATAGTGGAGGAGATAGAGTGGTGGTGGTGGTGGTGGTGGTAGAGTGGTAGTTGGGGTGGTGGTGGAGGGGAGCGGTGGTGGTGGTGGGGGTAGAGTGATAGTTATGGTGGTGGCGGTGGTAGTGTAATTGGTGGTAATATTGCTAATTATATTACATATTTTCAAACAAACATAAAAAAAGAATGACTATTATATTCCATAAATTTTCATAATTACTGTTACGATCCAAAACTGTGGGCCGAACCAGTACTAGAGCCCAAGTAAGCTTAAGGCTCATGAGGCCCGTAGTAAACCTAACTCACTTTAATCCATTTTTTTAAAGCTGAATTCCAAGAATAATAAGCCAGTAATATGATGATGTTAAATCATACTATCGAATCATATCTCTAGCCCAGCTTCTATTGATTTATTGAAACATATTGATAATTCTTACATGGTAAATTGTAATATATGACTTTCTATCTGCGGAGTTCAGTATAAGGATGAATACATTCTTATACACAAATACTGTATACTCAAATGTTATCAAAAATTGAAAATTTCTACTTTAACTCTACGGAAAAAGAACCAGAGCTTATTTGAACCAGCGCAGTGTCTACCTCTTGCGAAAAATTTAAGGAAGGGGATGAATTTCACAAACTCAGTGCATAATAATAAATAATACATAACCCAAACAGTCACGCAAAATGCTTTTCAACTTATATAGTGAGCATTCGTTCAATAAGCGCATGACACATTGTTAACAACTATAACTGATATCACAACAATCACGTCAAATAGAAATTGGTCAGTGGCATCATTATTTTCTCATTGCACGAGTAATCTGACAGTCATATTTCACGATAGAGAAGCCCATCCCTTTATCAAGGCATGAGGAGTCCATTTACTGAGGAGTTCATCCCCCAAATATGAGCCGAGGAGCTGATCCCCATACGACCAACTGGTCTATTCCTCACTTGACTAGTCCTTACATTGTTTTTGCATTCTCTCTCTCTTTTCCATTACCAATAGAAGACCGCCCTCTGGTTTTGCCATAACATCCATTTCATTTCAATTTCACATTTAAACAAACCACAGTATAGCGATATCGCAAGTAATCTGATCAATTTATATAATATAGTAAATTGCATAGGAGATCAATAAACACATACGAGTGTAATTATAGAATGTATAACTATATAACTCTTATATGCTTATAATTTTATAATTTATAAGATAGGTCATAGCGTAAATAATGTTATCTTTATAATATAGTATTAAAAGAGTGAAGGCTAAGTATCATTTGTATATATATATTTATAAGATGTGAAATGGTCGATGCATGTATGTAAATGATGGTATGCATCATTTATTATTACTTTATAATTTATAAGATAGGGTCATAGCGTAAATAATGTTATCGTTCTATAATATAGTATTAAATAAGAGTGAAGGCTAAGTATTCATTTGTATTATATATTATTTATAAGATGTGAAATGGTCGGATGCATGTATGTAATGATGGTGAAGGCTAAGTATCATTTGTATATATATATTTATAAGATGTGAAATGGTCGATGCATGTATGTAAATGATGGTATGCATCATTTATTATTACTCATAATGATAATAGATAGAGCAAGTTTTAGCTTGCATTTTGATTAACAAGAGCGGTAGATGAACTCTGATAATCTAGATAAAATACAAATATAAAAGAAAGGCTGCATGAAACAGATGACTTTCCTTAAATAATATTTAAGCTAACATATATCTACTTATCTATTAGATTGCTTTAATTAATCTAAACCTTATCGATATTTTTAATAATATTTCCCTAAACTTTCTATTTATTCAAATAGTAACTATTTAATATACTTATCAATTATTATTCACACGGCCATCCATCATTCAATCAATAATCTAATCATTACAAGTAATAATTTTACGTTCAACTCATAGCTTTTAAATTAAAATAACCTTTAATCTAATTCCAAATAACCTTTAATCTAATTCCACTACATTCTCAAATATTTTTTTTTTACTTCATCTCCGATATAATTTACTTTCTTTTCCGGTTTATCACTCAAATGTATACCAATCTAAGACTTCACAAACTATTCCTTCATTTTTTATATTCCTTCATTTTTTATATATGATTATCAATTATCAACCGGATTAATTCGAAGACAACTCCACACTAAAGTTAAAATAACGTTAGCTCCACAGTAAATATTGCCTATTAAAATAATAGGTCTTACTTTATTCATATTTTCGTATGTATTATGTCTAAAGCAATTCCATTTAAGACTTCACTTGACTTATAGTCCATCCTTAACCTTCAATCCAAACTAAATTCTGAAGTTAAATTTCTTTTTACAGTTTAATGTACAGTTTAACCTACCATAAATATATACTATAATTCCCATCAACATTATTACCCAAGTTCTTCAATTAAATTTATTTAACAGTAATTAAAATTTGCCTAAAGCTTTCTAATCAAATCAACACTCACAAACAATTTATTCAAATTTATTAAAACCCTTTAATTATAATTAACATTTTTAAACTGTATTGGGAAAATACCCAAAACATAGTACTGTCAGGGAGGCTTGGCCGGCGCCGACAAGAGTGGCGGCTGTGCTAGCCGGAACGAAGAGAGAAGGCATAGAGTCGCCTGACCAAACCAAAGTCACCGGAAAAACGAAGAGAGAGCCGACAAGAGGACCGAGACGAAGCTGTCTCGATCGCAACTCACACAACCCAATTGTTTCCTTTGCTGCGCTAAACGAGACTGAAACAAGACATGAGGAGGATCGAGGCCAAGTCGCCGGCGAGCAAGGGCTTGAGGCCCGCTAGAGAGAGAGAGCGAGGATGCAGAGGCCGCGATTTGAGTGGCGGCCGGTGGTTGAGATCGCGAGGAACAGCGATCGAAAGCTGCTGCTTGCTGTGTTTACCGGAAACGTAGACAGAGAGGTAGAGCGGTGGTGGCGGCGCGATGATCGTTAGACCTGTCTCGGGTGGCCGGTAAACAGTAGAGAGAGAGAGAGAGAGAGAGAGAGTTGATCGCCGCTGGGATGAAGAAGAAGAATAAGAGAAAGAAAAGAAAAGAGGAAAAAGATGTTTCTAGGGTTCTCTGGGTCATTCCGGTTTGATACGAACCGATTCGATTCAAATCAACGGTTTAGTTTGATTTTCTCTTGATTTAAAGGTTTTTCGTCGAGTTTAAGGATTTCAAACTGATTTATAGGTCCGATTTAATAATAATAAAAAAATTTTCTTTGCTAAATATCATTGGTTAAAATTTACAATTAAATTTTTAAATGGAAAATATTTAAAACTAAATTTTCGAGTCGTTTCAAATACATTATCAAAAATAGTAATGAAATCTTAATTACATTCCATTACATTATATTTTTCATTGCATTACATCTTTAATTATATCACATTACATTACATCAAACCAAACATAGCCTTATAGTTTATGTGTTAGTTACGATATAATTTAGGGATTCAAAATTTTTAAACAGATTATTTTTGTTCATTACACAAAAATTGACCATAAAAGATTACTTAATTGGACAAGATGGATGTATACGTTAGTTTCACTATAATTTAGACTTTCACCGAATTTTTTTCGTCCCTAAATAATTTAGGCTTTACAGTTTGGATTTAGCGAGGAACATTATTAATTATGTTTTTGCATTATGTGTTTAGCA